GAACGGGTGGGCTTGAACTTCAATTCGCAATGACACCGCCTGGTCGATGATGCCGGTGCCGCAATTAGATAACGCCAGATTATTATAAGCATACACTAGATAATCGTTCAACGCAACTGGTGTTGAGCAAGTAGTTATTCTTCCATCTCTGCTCACGTTGGGTTATCACGTTATTGATATGGGACGGGGGAGGCTCCATATTGGAACCAAGTATAATGGTTGTGCGACGTTGCTCACACTGTTTGGTCGCATCTGGCGAGGCAAGGATGGCCCGTATATAGGCAGTGCCCTAGATATCAGCCTTTTTACGCTGATTCAGCGTTAGATCAGGCTTTTTTTATAGGGTTAGGCTGAATCCAAAGTTTTTTTTTTTTTCGTACATTGGCTGATTTTTCATAGTTTTATTTTTTACCTTGGCTGTTTTTTCAGCCATTTTGTAGGAGTGTAGGCTATGAACACTGAAACTGACAATAGGGGGTACGGTACCATGAAAGTCCCTCCACTCCAGCCCGCTACTTCCACGCGAAACTCCCCCGAGCTGACGACTTCCTCACGAAACTCCCCCCAGCTGCCTACTTCCACACGAAACTCCCCCGAGGCCCGCTACTTCCACTCGAATCTCCCCTCAGCCACTTCTTCCACTCGAATCCCCTCAGCCACTTCTTCCACTCGAATCTCCCCCCAACCCCCTTCTTCCACCCGGATCCCCCCCAACCCACTTTTTCCACCCGAATCTCCCCTCAACCTACCTTTTTCACTCGAATCTCCCCCAGGGCCCTGGATAGGATTCTGGGTGCTCTTCCATGTAAGGCCACCATCTCTCAACTACTTTTTCTGTCAGTGTGTGCCACAGAATGCACTTTTCCTGGTAAGGGTTGGGGGCTAGTTTACTTTTTCCTTATCAGTGTGATGGTAAGAAACAATTTTTTTTCTTCTAAAACTACAAGTAATAAACAAGATTCCTAGGGTTTTATACCGTACCTACGTAATCAGTTTTCCTGGCGGTCCAGGCCGTCAAGGTTACCCGCACTGTCGTTGATTGCGAAAGTTAGCCGCTAATTGCGGCAAGATTTTCGCCGACTGTTGATGTGCTGGAACCCTCCCCACTCCCCCCCCCCCCCCCCCTCTCCGAAATTCGTCAGTGTCAGATTCGTTTCGAGTATTTCACGTCAGTCCGATTACACATACCACTCTGAAATATTAGCCCATTGTGAAACATAGCTTTTTCAAAAAAGGGTCCACCAACAAACAACTCTGAAAAAAAAGGCAAAGGAAGACACCCCAGCCTTATAGTAAGAGTTGTAAGGGTGAATCACCCTGCTAACCAGAGCCCTGATCTCCCCCCATCCCAGACCACCTTTTCCGCTCGAACCTCCCCACCACCCACCCACTTCCAATCGACCCCCAGCCAACCTGCTGGCACCTCCCCCTAACCCACCTGCTTCCCTCGCCACTCCCAGACCAACCATATAAATGTACACTTTCTTTCGGTAAGCCGTAATTATGCTTAAAAACAAAATTTGCACAATCAGCGTATTTTTTGAAAGAAAGCTGCATTTTTAGCGTTCTTTTCCTAGATAACGCTAATTGTCAACGGTTTTTCTCGTACCAATGCTGATCGATCAGCCTGGTCCATAACGAATCTAGGGGCCGCGACCGAAGGAGTTACAGTGTCAAAGGTACCGCTTTCACGAGCATCACCTGTCGCAAGCCGAACCTCGCAAATAGTTAGCCGAAGCAGTGCACGAGGAGCAGTGGGGGCTATCGTACTCGGCACATGTTTGCACCCATTTTCCGCTTATCCGTACCAGGGCTAATTTTTTCAGTGTAAGTCACCCTAACACACTGATAATCAGGGTGGTTTTTGGTATTCAGATTTATAATCAGGGTTTTCCAAAGGTGCAAGACTGATAATAAGGGTTAAAACAAAGTTTCCTTCAACAACCGCCAACAACTGCCAACAACCGCCATGGATACTGCCTTACGCGCTTCGGAAGACCCAATGTCCATTGAAACCTTGCCAGATGGAGCTTTAACCAGGTTTATTGGATTCCCCGTTTCGAGGTTCATAAGCAACATAACAAATTGTGTTCATACAGCGAACATGTTTCAAACTTATCAACCTTCAGTGGATCCCGAGGCGGTTAGCTCCCAAGGTTATGAACTCAATGTACACTCCTGGTTTCCACAAGATAATGCGCCACGAGGCTCTCGCGACTTGCGTCGCCTTCGGTATGACAAGGGACGCAACATCAAGAATCTTTCTACAAAAAGTCTAACATCCTATAAGATGGAGCTAAAAGGCTCGCCTTTCATTATCAAGCAACCAGGCCAACAGCAGTCTCTCTTAACACTCATCATCATGCCGCCGAAGGGAAAGGCCAAGAAGGCAAATGCCAAGTCTGGTGCTAAGGGACGGAACTTCAGTGCTCCAGTTACACCAATGAAGCCTGACGATGAGAAGGAAGTCAAGGCTGCTGCTGGTGTTCCAGTGTCGCCATCAGAGCATGTGGATCGGCCAGAATCATCGTCGATGGCTGCTGCCAGGCTCTCTGCATTGAAAGGCAAGGGACCGGAAATGGGATCGGTCAGTGGTCATGAGGAAGCTTCGGAGCAAGAGCTGCCTGAGTCTCTGTCCCCAACTGCTGAATCGGATGCAGACGACATTGACGACGAAGCGGAGGATGCTGACGGTTCTGGTTACCTCAGTGACGACTCAGATGAAGAGGCTGATCCTGTTATGGCTGGTCTCGTTGCTGCTCAGATTTGTTACCCGCTAACGCTCTTGATCCCAGACAAGCATATCGAAGAAGTCCCGAGGACAATGAAGTCGGTCACTGCTCACCTGGTTCACTGGAAGAAGGAGCTTTCGGCTGACGTACTGACAACAACGAAGTTTCAGAAGCTTCTCCCAACATACCTGTCGAAGGAGCGTTTTGGTCGTATTCAGGTTATTTTTTTCCGTGAGAAGGATGCTGCTTTCGTCTGGAAGCGTGCTGTTGCTCATGACTGTGCTGACGGAACCTCTTTGAAGCTGAGCTGGCAGTTCCCTGAGAATGCGGACTACATCCGCGCACGTAACCTCTATCCGAAGGCCTTTGAAGTGGTACTGAAAGGTGTCCCGGCTGAGCTGACTCCGGAGCAGATTAAGAAGTTCCTGGTGATGGTGTGGTTGGTAAAGAGGGGGAGGCCACCTTTTAAGGAAGCACACGGTTTTCATCGGGTGCAAGACCCGGTCCCGGGTATGGATACGGACAAGATTAAGGGTCTTCTGGTGCAGCATGAAAACGACCCCTATCGCTGGCGTCACTTTATTCTAGACCCTGCAATGAATGGGAAGAAGCTGCTGCTGCACTTCGCCTCGCTCAACTGTGACTACTGCAATGGCTATCATATGACGCGCTACCACGACGACTACGTCACTGACCGTCAGGCTAACATTGCTAAATGGAACCTCACGGTTAAACGTATTCATGAAGTCAACGGTACTTCTGTTTCTATAATATGCACGGACTGTCTCGCCTTTCTCTCTTTCCATGATACTGACCTTGCGCTCTTCTCTCGTCCCCGCAGCGGCCTCACTGAAAGTCACAGACTCACTGAAAGTGATCCTGCTGGACCCGGCCATTGTTCTCACCTCGACTGGCGGATCACGAGAAGACTGGATTTGTGTCATGGAGGCCTGTGGCAAAGCGCACGGCAGCAGTCTGGAGCTTGCAGCTGCTCATGTCGCGTCAGTCCGACACACTACCAACCTTACCTCGGCAGGCACAGCCACACGCAACAGCAAGGGAGCGATCAACATTGCAGCCCTCAAGAAGGAGTTCCTCAAATGATCTGCGAGGAAGTGGAGAAGAAGGCATCAGAGTGGGAGAGTAAGCTGGAAGCTAGTCTATGCAAGTATCATGAAGTGATAGTAGGTGGAGCTGTGGTCAGTGCCTCAATAGCAGTGGCTGTGATGTGTGGACTTGTGCTTATAACACGGTTTCTGGATCGGTGGCCGGGTGCAATGATAACAGCGGAAGATGACGAGCGGCTCACAACAACTAGGTCATACAACCCGTGGATGCGGAGGGGTTTACACTAGTGGACCAATGAATAAAAACCAAGAACTCAGCATCACCGCGCTCAATGTAAACGGACTGGGGAGCGCAGAGAAAAGGGGGAACCTGCAGGAATGGCTCAAGAAAGCTAAGGGAGTGATGGTACTTACAAACACCAGGATTAAGGCGGATCATAACTTCTGGACCCAGGTGGATGCTGAAGCTCTAGCAGCGGTAGACCCGGGGGACTCAGCTGGAGGAGTGGCAGTGCTGAACTTCAAAAAGGAGTTAGTCATCAGTGATGTCCAGCGGCATGAGTCGGGACGGCTGGTAGCGGTGTCAATGAAGTGGAGGGAGCTATCATGGTTGCTGGTAGCGGTGTATTTTCCTGCACAAGCAACAACCAGAGGGAGTTTTTTCCGGGAACACTTGATCCCTTTTATAGACTCACTAAAGCAAGGTGGACATGTGTTGCTTACAGGCGATCTTAACATTGCAGCAGATCCTATCATGGATAAAACATTTCAGCAAGGGTTGGATGCGGAGAACCGGCGGCTCCTACACATATGCTCAAAGTGGGATCTACGTGATATTTTTCGGACGCTTTACCCAAAAAGGCTGGAGTATACCTTTGGCGAAGGCGACTTTGACGAGTTCGCGCATTGATAGAGCGTTGGCATCGGCCTCCCTACTTCCGCTGGTAGCAGATGCGTATCACACAGCAGCTCCACCAGACGTCACAGACCACTGGTTTGGTATCACCACTGTACTTAAGGCGCAGTCTGGTGGAGGATGCATGCAGATCAAACGAGACACCCAGGGGTGCGGAAGGCTATCCGCCAGGTGCTGAACAGCAAGGGAAGATGTAGCAGAGAAGACCTGCATGGCACACTGGTGGGGCTTCAAGCCAGTCTCAAAGCTCACGCAAGAGAAGAGAGAAAAAGGATTGGGAAGACGATGTCGCATCTGGAGGACAGAGTAGCAGCATTGCGACAAGAGTTCATGGCAGACTCAAGTCAGGGAGAGAAGTACGAGGAGCTGATCAAATTCGAGGCGCAACTTAAGGCGTACAGAGACAGTCAGAGAAGGAGAAAACAAACATTAGCGGGCATTGGAGAGGAGTTGAACGGGGAGATCGCGACGAAATCCCTGACACGAAGGATTACAATACGGAAGGCAAAAACAACGATCAAGGAGATAGTGTATGAAGGGAAGAAGTACGAAGGAGAAAGGGAAGTGCTGACGGCGGCGTCGGAGTTCTATTCTAAACTCTTCGGAGCGAAAAAGCAGGAGTGGCCGATGGATCCCGCGAAAACTCTGGATGAGGAAAGAAGGCAGAGGCTCTCAGCTCCATGGACAGAAAAGGAAGTCAGACAAGCGATGAAAGAGCTACCAAGGGGGAAAGCTCCTGGTGCAGACGGCTTACCGAAGGAACTACTGGAGGACAACTGGGACCTGTTGGGAGAGTCGGTGATGGCCTTCATGCAGGAGTTTGAAAAGACCGCGGTATTACCGAGCAGTGCTTCGACAACGGTGACAATCCTGCTGCACAAAAAAGGAGAACGGTCAGATCTGGGGAATTACAGACCAATTACCCTGCTGAGTGCGATCTACAAGATTGTAGCGAAACTGCTCACGAACAGAATGAAAAAGGTGCTACCGCAGGTCATATCGGAAAACCAGTTCAGCTTCATTCCAGGCAGGCGGCTGGCAGATGCGGTTAAAGTAGTAGCAGACACGATTGACGCAGCGGTGATCGGGAAAGAAGACTGGTACTTACTCATGGTAGACTTTCAGAAGGCGTACGACTCCGTGTCAAGAACCTTCCTCTTCCGCACCTTAGAGCGCATGGGCTTCCCGGCGGCCTTCATTAATTGGACCAGAGGACTGCATGAACATGCGGCGACGCAGTTACTAGTCAACGGCTGGCTAGGCGAACGGGTGAATGTGGAATCAGGAGTGCGGCAGGGTTGTCCCCTCGCGCCTTTTCTCTTCATCTGCGCAGCAGAACCACTGAGTCAAGAAGCGGAACGAAGGAGGCTGGGATTGAGGAAAAGGGGAAAAGGAGGCTTGGCATACCTTGGATATGCGGACGACACAACACTTCTACTCCAAGGGAAGGAGCAGCTTAAGCGGGCACAAGGTCTTCTGGATGACTTCAGTGTCAGGTCGGGGCTGCTTGTGAACCAAGGGAAGTTGACGGTGATGCCGCTGGGGAAAAATAGGCTGAATCCTCCACCTGCAGACACAAACTATAGTTGGGCGGCAAGGGGTGAGCCTGAAAGACTGCTGGGCATCTGGATCACAACGGATGGGAGGGCAGAACCGACGTGGGAGAAAGCGCTGATACGAGTGAACGCCATTCTCACCAACTGGGAGAAGCTGCACCTCACAACAACGGCGCGGGTGATGGTCTTAAATGCTTATGTGATGCCGGTGGTGCTCTTCCAGGCTCAGGTGTACCAGCCACCTAAGCTGATTTGGAAGCGGATCCTGAAGCTGTGCCGCAATTTTATATCGAAGGGGTGCGCGGACGAGGAAAAACACTTTATTCTCTGGAGCGAGCTGCTGGCACACTTGGGGAGAAGGGAAGGGGGTCTGGGAGTCATCAGTCCGAAAGAGAGAGTTAACAGTCAAGCGTTATGGAATCTGGGTGCAGCACTACTGGAAGAGAACCCAATGAAGCAGTGGCTGCAGGAGAAGGCATCGAACATGCCTCTGGGATGGGCGACGCTACTGGCGCACAAAGCAATTCTTGCGGAATGGACATGCGGAAGTGGGCGTTGGAAGTCACTCACGCCGCTTGTATGGGACAAACAACTGCCGGAACTGCCCGAACCAGAAAATCTATGGGAGATGGCCCAGGAGCAACTCTGGTTTAGCCGATGGATACATTACCAAGGGAGCAGCCCATTCGGCAGACAGAAGGGGTCGGAGTGTCTGAAGGGAATGAAGGTGGGGGACTTGCTACAAGAAGAGTATGGGGGAGGATGGAAGGTCAAAGACATGTGGACCTTGACAAAGCAAACGGGAAGGTCTGCCACGGCGAGATGGGCGCTCATGGCATGGGAAGCAGTACCAGAGGCCTGGAAGGTGAAACTCTTGGCGAGAATATCAGCAGAGACGATTGCGGAGGCCTCTACGCTGGTTAGAGTGGGGAGAGGTGTGACAGGGAATCAGCACTATCTCCGAGTAGCGCTGTCCGATACCAAGGAGCTAAGATGTGAATCGGTAGCCGTTGACGAAGAGGGAAAAATCAAGCATCTTGGGGGCACTGTTCAGGAGCCGGCACTACTGAACATACTAACACCGATGGTGGTCAGAGAAGGCCGGGTGTTGGGTTAGATGGGTGATCCGGTAGCTCGACTACGAGCATCTTTCTTGTGCAAGAAAGGGAAGCCTACGGCACAGAGAAGATTGAGACATCTGCTCAGGAAGCCGGTCTCACAGCCAAAGCAGCAGAAGAAGTGGGAGGAGACATGGGGAAAGAGGATTGACTGGGAGAAAGCCATTGCGAAAAGAGACTTTCTGGTGGTTACAGCCAAAGCAAGGGAGGTCCTGCTGAGGCTGCACAGTAACAACCTACAAGTGGGAAGCAGAGTGGCTTTCCTCGGCCCTCATGCATGCTGCCCGCACTGCGGACAGGAGGAAACGCCAACGCACTGTCTGATGAGCTGTCCAATTGTAAAGGGGGTGTGTGGCGCGCTTCAAGATTCACTTCGCCTGATTAACCCGCGAAGACAGGTGGAGACGCTGGAGGAGCTGCTGTTTGCAGATGACAGCACGACATCCGGTTTTCCGGAAACCACACTCATCACAACTGTGTTCAGACACGTCTGGCTAGAACGATGTGATGCGGTCTTTCAGAAAACGACCTTCGAACCTAAATGGGTGGTCAGGAAGATAGGAGCCAACTTCATGCGGCACGTTCGGATATACAGTGAAGCGAAGCGTGGTGCCGGTGTCCAAGGGGAAGATAAGGGTGAAGGGCGGTGGCAGCATTTGACAGTTGGGGAGAGGAGAGCGCTGGAGAAAGTTTACGTGGACGAGGACCTGGTGACGTGGAGCAATGACTTCAAGTCCATCTGGGAGAGGCCCAGCACTTTTTTCAAGCCGCCGTAGGGTGGCTAGGGGGGGCCTCGGTAGGCCGTTATAGGCTTACTCGCACTCTCCTGTTCTCCCAGTTACGACTGTGGGTGTATGCATTGTATAGTGTACTACATCCCAAAAAAAAAAAAAAAAAAAAGGGGTTGCTTAAAACAAAAACTAGCCCTGGTCCGGACTCACCATGCGTAGTGTGACGATCAAGCGTACGCATGATATGAGGCAAAATCTGGATTATTTCATGATGTATTCCTTTTCTTAGGGTTGACACAGATAGAATCTTGCTCCTGTTCGATGTGCGTCTTGATTTTGAAAAGGACATTTGAAGCTATTATTGTAAGATGAACAATTATTCGTTCTTAAGCTGTGACTTCTGTTTTCTGTCTTAAGTGATACGATGTCACGACAATACCGAGAGTCGTGAAATCCCCCACCCCCACAAACTTCTGTACAAAAGAGCGGGAAAAAACTGACAGCATCCAAGCTTGCCCAAAACCAGCATCCCGGCCTCTTGTTCGTCCACTATCCGCATTCGGAAAGCAAGCTCCATCTGCTCATGCCTGAGCGGGTGTGTTCAGGTGCGACAAAGGTCGGCGCTAGAGGCTGGAGCATGATGCACGAACCGGGCTAATCGGCGCTCTCTTCAAAAGTAACGACATTCTCAGAATCGGCGACTGTCGTCAAGCCGAAAGTTGCTTTCGCTGTAGATTCGTTCGAACCGTTAGCGTCGAGGCAGATGGATTCTCCTGTATTTTGAGTCGATAAAACATTCACCCTGCTTTTAGTGTCGATTCATTCGATTCGTTCGATTCGTTTGATTCGTTTGATTCGTTCGATTCGTTTGACTCGTGAGCGTCGAGGTAGATAACTAATTTTGCAACAATGGATGACGACCTGCTGCTGGTTCAGCTGCGCAGATTCGTCGAATCCTCTCACGCCCTGCTCCGTGAAACCTCCGGCGTTTCCTCGTCAAAGAGTACAGAATCCGCTGCAGAAGCGCTACTAGGGATTGCCGCGAGGACGCCATTGACGGGGATGCTGGTGCTATTAGCGAGCAGCGTGCGGGCGAGGCAGAGAAGGCTGCTCTTGCAGGTCTAGTGGCCGCGGTATAAGCGGTGGTGGCGGAGGCGGAAGGCGCGGGGCGGATGCTGGCGAGGAGGGGGGAAGCGGGGAAGGGGGACGCAGGGAGGGGGGAGGCGGGGAGGGGGGAGGCGGAGCGGGAGGAGCTGGGTTGGCGCAAGGGTACCAGGGGAGGGGGAAGGGGTGGAGGGGGGAACTCAAGGCGAGAGGAAGGGCTGGACGTTGGCGCAGGGGGCTCAGGGGGCGCAGGAGGCGTGGGAGGGGAAAAGTGGAAGAACGAGGCTGGGAAGAAACCAAATCCTGATATTCCTGCTGACACCATCTCCCTGTCACTAGAGGTGCACGGGTGGTTGTTTGGGCGCAATGGGAAGGGAGAGCGAGTGATTGGGGGGTAGGGCATTTGCGTCCAAGCTCCATAATAAGAGACGATTTTCTGAGACGCCTCAAAAGTGCTTTGCTCGCCTGCGATAACGTTATGTGACGAGGCCACTTCTGAGACACAAGTGACTGTTGAGTCACTCGCTCTGAGACTCAAAGCGATCACCTTTGACACGCATCAGCAGCAAAGGCTTTGGAATGAAGAATCAATGTGATGCTGCAGTGCGGAGACGCCTCACACAGAAATAAAAAAAACGTTTCAAAACTCTATATTTGAGATGCTTCAGAACTCTTTGAGACGTCTTAATTATAGTCGTCTCAATCTGTGGGTGTACCTCGTGCCTCAATGCCTTCGCTCTTCAATCTCCTTCCCTGTTTGCCTAACTTCCCTCAGGCAGTCAGTCAAGCATCTCGGCCGTCCATGCGCTGCTGGCGTCGCATCAGAGCCATCGGTGGGCGGCAAGCCTGCATCAGCTGCCGAATAGCATCGACGCCATCATGCGAATCAGCAGGTAGGGTGTTCGTGGCATGATACCGTGACATGACATGACATGGGAGGACAATGCAGTGACGTGGCATGTTATTACATGATATGACATGCCACTGAGGTCCGCATTAACTGGCTTGTGAATGGCGTTGCTCAAAGTGCAAAGTGAAAGCAGGAATCAGCGTGTCATGTACACTGCCAGCCATTCACAGTGCGTCATGCACAGCACAGCACAGCACACTGCTTCCTGCATGGGACATGGAGTCATTTGCATGCATGTATGCATGCCACATGTACATACCAGCTGATCGTGCCATGATTCGGATTTCACGCACCACCACATACCCATCTTCATGAACTTGCCTTGTGCTCACTCCTCTCTATCCTTAATCAATTCATCTCTTCTTCATCTCTCCTTGATCCATCCTCCCCATCCCTCATCCGTCCCTGCTCTGCTCCCCCGCAGTGCCATGCGGCCACTGCTCTCCTTGCTGCTGCACCTGCTGTCCCTCGCGCCTCTCTCCTTGCTGCGCCACCGCCTTCTGCCAAGCCCAGGTGAGTGCGCATCCTCCTAATAGCCAGCACAGCCCAGCTCTATAGCGAGTACGGCTTCCCTGGTTCTTGCTGCTGCACCCGCTGCCCCTCACAGCCCCTTTGCTCGCCACCGCCTTCTGCCAAGCCCAGGTGCGTGCGCACCTTTGCAACGAGCTTGGGAAAGCTCTATAGCGAGGATAACCTGCCTGGCTCTTGCCGCAGCCTGCTCTGCACGCGTTCAGGTCAGAAGTGCCTACCCTCTCTTACTTCTGTAGGTTCTTGTATAATAGAAGTATCCACTCCACATCGACTCTTACCCAGGGCGGTCACCAGGTCAGGCCGTTGATCTGCAGCTTCTTTCTTCAACGTGGCTTTGAGTCCTTCCTGTTTCCTGTTTCTCTCCTCTCCCCAGGCCTCCGTCAGCACTTGTTCATTCAACGCCACCTCCACTATCAACCACATGCTGCTGCTCATCCTCTCCCCTTTGCTTCCCTCCTCATTTTCCTTCCCTCCTGTTTCTCCCAGGCGTCCGCCCTACTGCCCATCGTCACGTCCCTCCTCTCAGCAGGCCTTCATCAGCTCTTCTTCACCCATCTCCACCAGCAAGCGCGTCTGGTCCACCCCTCTTCCTCCTCCCCCTCATCCTCCTTGCCTTCCTCAGCTCCCTCCTCTCGCCCCGCCTCTGCTGCCTCCTCCCCCGCTGCCTCCCCCTACAAGCCCCCGCACCTGCGCTCCCGCAATGCACGAGCCCCCCCTGCCGGCTCTCTCCCCCTCCTTGTCCTCCATGCCTCCCGTTCTGCCACCAGCAGCAGCACCAGCAGCAGCAGCAGCAGCAGCACAACCAGCAGCAGCAGCAGCAGCAGCAGCAATCAGCAGAAGCAACACAACCAGCAGCAGCAGCAGCACAATCAGCAGAAGCAGCAGATGGAGGGGTGGGTAAACTTGTGTCACCATCAGCGCTTGCAGCAGGGTTGAAACTCGCAGCAGACGCAGCTTCTACTCATGGGCCCCGTTCCTCACACCTGCATGGATTTTTTTCCGGGCAGCCGTTCGGCCGAGCGAAGCAGCTGGAGGTATTTCCCCTCGCGATGTGAGGGGCTCTGGCTCAGAACAGTGCGAGGAGGAGGAGGAGGAGGAGGGATGGGGTGGAGAAAGGAGAGGAGGAGGGGGAGGAGGTAGTTGGGGTGGGCGAGGAGGCGATGGGAGGAGGGGAGGTGGTGGCGTGGAGGCAAGAAAGCTGAGAATAGCTGCACTCACCTGCATCAAGGTGAGTAGAGGTGGTGCTGGTGAGTGGAGGCACTCACCTGCATCAAGGTGGGTTACCTCTTCTGCTACTTCCTCACTATCTTCTCCCCCGCTTCCCCTCTATTTCCGCACACTCACCAGAGCATGCACTCGTGGCTGTGCTCTTCCCCCACTCCTCCGCTGCTGCTGCCCTTCCCCTCACTGCACTCTCCCCTTCCCCACCTCCCGTCTCTTCGCCTGCACGGTGTTCGCATGCACCCATCAGAACCTGGCAGGGTTGTGTCCCAGGGCACTGCACGCGCATTGGGCTGTGCTCTTCCCCCACTCCTCCGCTGCTGCCCCCAGACGTGTCTCGCACACGCTTGCTCATGTGCTATGACGGATTGCCCCCACATCCATACATGCCCGCCGCCCTTCTCCCAACGTCCATCCGTACATGGAGAGTGCTCTCACTATCAGCGAGCTCTGCATGCGTGCACTGCCCCGTAGCGAGCACTCATCCCCATGGCTGCTTCTTGCTGCTTTTCTTGCTCTCACAGACCACCTACCCCCCACCTGCCGCCCACTCCCCCCTCACAGGTTCTCCTCTGCGTCCCTCCTAGCGTCTTCTGAGGCGACTCAAAAGTCACCTAGCACCCCTCCCCCCCCCCGTCCCCCACCATGTGCCTTGTACTCCCCTCCCCCTTTCCCCCACGTGCCTTCCACTTCCCCCTCACAGGTTCTCCTCCGCGTCCCTTCTAGCGCCTCTGCTCGCTGACTGACCCATCCCCCAAGGTGACGTGACGTGGATGGCTACTGGATCTATTAACCGTGCTCCAGAGGTCTGTACCTATGGAATGAAATGAATCCTCCAGTGTCCCGTACTTGCGAAACCGTTCTTTCATTTCTCAACAGTATTGTACCGTACCATGCAAAAGCTCCTGGAACATAGGCATAACTGACAAAACTCGCTCCTGTATTCGCTCCATAACCTATACTTGCTCTTTACTGTCCCTTTGCCTCCTGCTTCGGCCCTCCTTTTTCACCCCTCCTCTGGCCCTCCTCCCCTCCCTCATTGCCACCTTCCATTCTCTGCAGCTGCGAGTGGCAGCAGCACAGGTCCTCACTGCCCTTCTCGACTCGCCTCTCACTCTCACCTTCCTGCACCGCACTGCTGCCTCTACACCCTCCCCTGCTGCTGCCTCTGCTGCTGCTGGGGGGTCTCGCATCCCGGGCAAGAGAGCACCAGTGCGAGGGTCAGGAGCGGTGGAGAGTGGTGCTGGGGGAAAGGAAGGGGAGGATGGTGCTGCTGGTCGTGCTGGGGGTCATGATGGTGTTGGTGGTAGCTGTAGCAGCAGCAGCAGCAGCAGCAGCAGCAGCAGCAGCAGCAGCAGCAGCAGCAGCAGCAGCAGCAGCAGCAGCAGCAGCAGCAGCAGCAGCAGCAGCAGCAGCAGCAGCAGCAGCAGCAGCAGCAGCAGCAGCAGCAGCAGTAGCAGTAGCAGCAGCAGCAGCAGCAGCAGCAGCAGTCGAGCTTCCTTTATTCTCTTTCAGCAAACCTGGCAGACAGCCTTGCGGACATGCATAGTCGTGCGTTATCCGTAACTCCTGTGCGTATTCCCCATACCCAGTTCACAATTGTCTTGCTCTGCCCAATCCCTTCTCTGACCAATCCTCGCTCTGCCCAATCCTTGCTCTTTTCACTCAACTCCTATAATCCTGACAGACGAGTGCTGGGCGGAGGCGCTGCTGCCAATGGCTTTCCTGAATGCCCTAGCTGAATGCTTCTATTTCCCCCCTGCGTCCAGCCGTGGCAGCAGTGCCTACAGCAGGAGCAGGACCCATAAACCCTGTCCCCTCGGCCATCATTCATTAGTACACGATCTCTATGTATCCACTCATGTGCGTGTACGTGCAACCCCCTTCCTCCCACCGCATGCAGCCATGGCAGCAGTGCTACAGCAGGAGCAGAACCCATGGACCCTGTCCCCTTGTCCATCATAGGTACACAATCCACATATGTCCACTCACGTGCGTGTGCAACTCCCTCCCCCCCCCTGTGTGCAGCTGTGGCAGCAGTGCTACAGCACGAGCAGGACCCATGGACCCTGTCTGTCGCCTGCAAGCTGGCACAATGCACACCGCAAGATACTTCCACCCACTGATGAAGAATGGCCACCTTGCGAGTATTAACTCCTCCTTATCAACCTAATGCTTCTAGCACACCACCTCCCCCCTCTCCCTCGATTTCTTGCTACCATAAAGCCCTACCCACCGTCCCACCTCTTCCTCCCCCTGTCCCCATTGAAGGTACCATCGCCTCCGCTCCTCCCCTCGTTTGAGTCACATCCTGCCGTCCGCTCTAGTCACGCGGATCTCAACTCTCCTCTCGCCAGGCCCCCTCTCCTCCGCCTCCTGGTCCACCAGCATGTCTTATAGCGAGGATGGCATCTCCACTGCTTCTGTAAGCATATGTTCTAAAAACATATTATCCTTTTCTTCCTGGTTCATGTACTATACATGCAATTTCATTGGGCATCGTGCGTGTGTGTAATATAGCTGTGCGCTCCTGTGCGACTTTGAGCACATAGAAGCTCTGTAAATCCCCATATGTATTCATGTTTCAGTCCGCCACGCTTCTCAGTTCGTGCTCTTAGGGCATGCATGTGTGGATGTGTGGGGTGGAAGTGGCATGTGTGCTTTTGTGCATATGTACATCTGTGTGTGCGTGTGGGGGCGGGGGGGGGGGGGGGGTTGTTTGCGTGCGTGTGTGTGTGTCTGCATATGCGTGTATGTCTATGTGCTTGTGTACATGCGGTGTGCACAAGTCCATGCATGCAGGTTCATTTCATTCTCTTCAACGAGGAGGCCATGGATGCTTATGAAGGCCATCCCCCTCTCGTTGTTGTGCCCTTGTGCGCGCGTGCGTGTGTCCATGAGTGCAGGTGCATTTCATTCTATTCAACGAGGAGGCCATGGATGCATATGAAGGAGCAGCAGAGGATCTGCAGCTGCCGCCCCTCGAGATTGAAACGGACGGCTGAGATCTCACAAGCAAGCACATGTGTGGCATCCAAGTGTGTTTATGTCAGCTCTTTGCTAGTTCATTTTACTTGTTCCCTTTAGTTCATTGCAGTTCGCTATAAGTACCGTAATGAAAATGGATGAAGTTCATGAAACATGTTTACATGAGTTGTTGCTGCAGCATTGAGACCTGACTGCCCACCTGGCCATATTAAGTACATAGCTGGAAGACTCACACATCTGTTTGATTATGTATCTACAGTTATACACTCTACATTCTGCAAACCACCAGAACAGGGCCTCAGATTCGTTTTTGCCTAGGCTGAACGGTCAGTGTTGTACCAAAAAAAAAAGCTGAAAAATCAGTGTCCTGGTTTAAAAAAAGGCTGACTAATCAGCCTCACTCAAAAACTAAGGGTGTGGGCAGCGCGTTCATTTTCCCCACTTTTACAAAATTTTGACGCCCGTCGAATCTGGAGGTTACTGTAGCTTTTTTGTACCGCGCTTAGTTTGTGTCACGAGGTGGGACACGCTCGTCCAAATTTAGGCACAGAACCCGCCACACTTTTGCCAAACCGCCCACCCAACAAGGTAACCCTGTGCCTCCGAATTGAAGGTGGCAAAAATTCCCGAATTAAACCTTTGTGAACCCTTGGATTTGCGAGGGTCGTACGCGCTTGACGAAGTCGTGGTGCGGTTTCGCTGACGTTTTCACACGCCTTCTCAAATGATGCGCGGGTTGTTCGCGGACGTTGTGGGTACGTGTTTTGTTCGGTTGACGGCACGGAAAACAGCCACAGTTCATCCACTGTATACTCCGTCGTGTCCACGCATTACCCTAAATCGGGGTTACAAACCGCTGAATGAGGTAACTGTTTCGGGCTAAGCCAGGAAAATGAACGCGCTGCCCACACCCTAAGGCTGAGCAAAGCTAGAGACCATTTTCAAAGTGCTGTGGGGGTCAGGTAGGGGTGTTTAACGCGGGGGCACGCGGTGCTTTGCTGTGCGTTGTTGTTCTGCTGCAGAACTTCTGCACCGAAATGACGCGTCGGGAGATGGCATCTTCGGCGTGACTTACGGGGACTGTACCTAGACAGCCGAAACTCACAGCTCCTACAGAACCAGTAGTAGCGCGATATCAGCCGCCCTCGTTAGTACGATGATCAATCAGTCTACACTTGTAAAAAAATGCTGAAAAATCAGCCCATGCACTAAAAAAAAAACTGAAATATCAGCCAATACATTATCCCCATGTCTGAAAAATCAGCCTTCCGACCCTAAATCAGCCTTTTTTCGCTGAAATCTGAGGCCCTGCACCAGAATCCTCGCTAGAGTGACACACTTGCAGTGCAGTGAAGTTAATCAAGCCTGCTGCAGCAGTGCAGCGCAGTGCAGTCACACAAAGGACCTCCCCAGCTCGTGTTGCAACTTTTGAGTCGGCTCAAAGTCACGTGGAGTGACACATTTGCTTGCAGTGCAGTCAATAGTGCCTGCTGCAGCAGTGCAGAGCAATCACACAAAGGATCTCCCCAGCTTGCGTTCAAAGAGACGGTGCAACAGATAGACCTGCAGAGATGGAGAAGGTGGGTGAGGGAGGGGTGTGGAGAGAGTTGAGAATCCCGCAGTACCCTAAATCAGCACTGTAGCATCACCTGATTAGCACTGTAGCATCACCTGACTAGCACCAGGGTGCAAAATTTCCTCATATTTTGGGCGAAAATTTCGCTATCGAAATTTTCGACCGAATTTTTCTATAATTTCGGTCCCCCTCCCCAAAAACATTTTGGTGGAAATTTTCGCCCGAAATTTACAGGAATAAGTATGAGGAAATCGTGTGTAAATTGATACAATTCTATGGGTTGACATTGTAATGGCATTTCGCCGCCAGATCTAGGCAGATCTGGCATTTCGCCATCCAATATAGGGCGGATCTGGCATTTTGCCGTCAAATTCAGGGCTGATATGGCATTTCGCTGCCAGGGAAATTTAGAAAATTTCCTTTCTTTTTCTTTTGGTCTATTAAAATTTCGCCGAAATATAAAAAAAACGGCCGAAAATTTCGATCGAAAATTTCGGTTCGAAAATTTCGCTTAGCGCAATTTTCCACCTTGACTAGCACTGTAGCAATACATGAACAGCACTGTAGCATCGCCTGAACAGCACTGTAGCATCACCTGAGCAGCACCGTAGCATCACCTGAACAGCACTGTAGCATCACCTGAACAGCACTGTAGCATCACCTGACCAACACTGTAGCATCACCTGACCAGCACTGTGGCATCACCTGACCAGCACTGTAGCATCACCTGACCAGCACTGTAGCATCACCTGACTAGCACTGTAGCATCTCCTGACCAGCACTGTAAACAACACTGTAGCATCACCTGAACAGCACTGTAGCATCACCTGAATAGCACTGTAGCATCACTTGAACAGCATTGTAGCATCACCTGGATAGAGCTGCAAAGAATGAGCGCGCCTGATTGGACGGCCGTCTTGAAGATGAGCCTTGCTGTGGTGGTCTTGGCCACTGGCCATGGGCTCCGGGGGGGAAGGGGGCAGGGGGAATGGGGGCAGGGCGGGGGGAGATGACACGGGGGATGGGGGCAGGGCGGGGGGAGATGACAGGGGGGATGGGGGCAGGGCGGGGGGAGATGACAGGGGGGATGGGGGCAGGGCGGGGGGAGGGGGCAGGGGGGATGGGGGCAGGGCGGGGGGAGATGACACGGGGGATGGGGGCAGGGCGGGGGGAGATGGCAGGGGGGATGTGGGCAGGGCGGGGAGATATGGCAGGGGGATGGGGGCAGGCCGGGGGAATGGGGCGGAGGGTAGCGAGGGAGAGATGAAGGGGGACCAGCAGCGTGGGAAGATGAGCCGTGCTGTAGTGGTGTTGGCCATGGGGCATGGAAACAGGGCAGGGGGAACGGAGTGAAGGGGAGAGGGAAGAGGGAGGGGAGTGAGAGGTGGACTTGGCCATTGGGAATGGAGGGATGGAGGGGGGAGATGGGGACAGGATAGGGCTGAGCGCGTGGAGAGGGAAAGAGAGAGGGAAAGCGGAGATGGGGAGAAGGGCAGGGGGATGGAGACGGGGGAAAAGTGGGGCGAGTGTGTCAGGGGGATGTGGGAGTGATGCGGGGCGGGGGGTTGTGTGGGGTGAATGGAGGGATGTGGGAAAAGTGGGGCGAGTGGAGGGAGGATGTGGGAACAAACAAAAGTGCCTCCATGGGAGCACAACTCTCCATGCGAGTGGCTTGGCAAGCAGAGCAGAGCAAGCAGAGCAAAGCAAGCAGAGCAGAGCAAGCAGAGCAGCGCAAGCAGAGCAGAGCAAGCAGAGGATGCGGAGTACTTGGGAGGGAGGCGAGGGGTAAAGGATGCGGCGGGAGAGGGGAGCTGAGGTCGGGGTGGGGAAGGGGGAGGGAGTCGAAATGGGGAAGAAAGGTGAGGGGAGAGAAGACGAGATGAGAGGATTTTGGGGGAGAGAGAGGAATGGAAGAAAAAGGAGAGGGAGGGAGGGGAGTGAGATGGTGATGCGTGTGAGGTGACTTGAGTCGGCTCAAAAGGGACGCAAGTGCAGCGTGTTCATACGTCCGTGAGTCGCGAGTGCATGGACATGGACGTGGGCGCAGCGACGTTCGTGTGCGACTCATGGACGTACGCACACGCTGCACTTGCGAGTGCATGGAGTCGGCTCAAAAGGGACAAGAGTGCATGCATGGACAAGGACGTCTGTGCAGCGACGTTCATGCTGTCCCTCGATATGCCTTGTCATTCAGCCTCTCTCCCTTCTCCACCCTCCTCACTCACACTCGTTGAGCCTCGGGGCCTGCGAGTGGCGGAACTTGGCATGCATGTACAGCACCATCACTTGTTCGTACAGGTTCCCTCTTCGCCTCCCCCCTCACATTCCTTCACCCACGCTGCTCTCCGCCCCCCCTCACTCACATTCGTCCAGCCTCTCTCTCTTCTCCTCCCCGCTCACGGGCTCACATTCCTTCACCCTCTCACCTCTTCCCCTCCCTCACTCACGTTCGTTGAGCCTCTGCGCCTGCGAGTGGCGGAACTTGGCATGCAAGGACAGCACCATCACCCGCTCGTACAGGTTCTTCGCCTTGTCCCTCGTCTGCTCCACGTGCTCTGGAGGGTGAGCGGGGACAATAGAAGGACGAGGGTGTAATGAGGGGAGACGAGCAGGGATGCTAGGGTGACTGCAAAAGGGTTGCAGGGGGACAGCACAGCACCATCAACCATCACCCGCTCGTACAGGTTCTTCGCCTTGTCCCTTGTGTGCTCTACATGCTCTGGGGGGTGAGCAGAGAAGGGGGGAAGGGGGGGGAATTATGAGGAAACGAGGGTGTGACGATGAGGACGAGAGAGGGGGGATGGAGGGGGGCAATGAGAACACGAGAGGGGGGCAGCAACATCACTCGCCCCTACAGCTTCCTCACCTTGTCCCTTTGAGTAGCCACTTCATCACCAGGTTAAAGGAGAGGAGATGGGCGGGCGGATACCAGGCAGCAGGGAGGGTGGTGACGCCACGCAGCACCATCACCATGTGCTTCTTCGACAGAGGAGATGGCCGGGCAGGTACCAGGCAGCAGCGGGGGGGTAGTCAACCCCCCACAGACAGCATCACACGCACAGAACCGCACAGCACCGCACAGTACCGTGCACCACCGCACAGCACCGCACAACACACCTTCCTTGGCGAGCTCCTTTTCGCTGTAGTGGTGGCCCACGTGCAGCTCAAATACAATTTCCTCGTTGATGGGCGACTTGTTGGTGAAGCACACCTTGTAGTCGCCCTCCTGCATCGACTCAAATGAAAACACGCCCTCCGTCTGACCCTGCGCCGAGTGCACGTGGTATCCCTCAGGGTCCTCCACCTGTGTGGCCGAATATAGGAAGGAGCGTGGGGAGCGTGGGGAGGGGGGAGGGGGAGAGGGGAGAGAGGGAGGGGGAGGGGGGGTTTGAAGGAGCTACTGTAAGTGCATCAACTCAAACTCAAAAACAAACACCCTCCGTATGACTGTGTGACGAGCGCACGTGGTTGGTAGCCATCGCGGTGCTCCACCTGTTTGGCAGGCGAGGCGAGGGAGGAACGACACAAGGGTGAAGACGGCGCACTCAAGCATGTGACACTCGCACACTCGATGATTGCCCTCCGTCTGCCCCTGCGCCGAATGCACTTGGTACCCGTCAGCGTCCTCCACCTGTTTGACGGGCGAGGGGAGGAAGGAGGAACGGTCGAGGGGAGGAAGGAACGGGCGAGGGGTGCATGATCTGTGAGGCTCTGCGCTGATGCGCGGATTATGCGTAATCAGCGCTGATAGTTGCCCTCCGCCTTATCCTGCGCCGAGTGCACGTGGTACCCATCGGGGTCCTCCACCTGTTTGACGGCCGAGAGGAGCAAGGAGCAGAACAGGGATGGGTGAGTGAGGCACACGAGGTCGAGAGTCGCCCTCGCGCATTGAATTCAGTCTAATATTCCTTGAGTCTGCCCCTGCGCAGCATGCACAACTGTGAAAGAGTGGGGGTGTAGAAGGAGGAGTTGATCTCGAATCGATTCGAGCTTGCATTTCCGCTGTGGGACTCGAGGCGCCTGAAACCTCGCACTGTATCGAACTCGAATGTCCCCTCCCCTTAGGGATATCCCTTCAATGTCCGACCTGCGCGGTCGAGGTTGGAGGTTGAGAAAAAGGGAACGAGACGGAATGAGGGGTGAAGACGGGACAAAAAGGTTGTGTATTAGAGAGGCTGCACGGAGAGCGAGAGGGAAGTTTGGGCGAGTCTTACCTCGAAGAATCAAGGATTGGCTGAGTGTTCTCGCGAAGGAGATTTTTTGTACAGGTTAGGATGATAGGTAAGGCACTATGTGGGCTGTAAAATGTGACACTGTGCTCTTATCGGGAGCATGGGAGGGGGGTATTGTGGTGTGCTTACAACGATGTCGACGCCCAGCGACTCCCATTCGCCCCACGTTTGCGAACTGACGACGACGAAGTTACCATGCACTTCGTCGCCGACGTAATGCACGTAGTAGGTCAGGCACTCGAACTGGTCTAGCGTGAACCGAACCGCGGAAGCTCCGCGGGATGCGGCGAGGAGAGCCAACAAAAAGAGGAGAAAACAAGGCGAAGCAGCTAGGCGACACTTGCCCATCATTGTCAGCCTGAGGGATCGCGAATTGCCAGAATTTTACGATTTCAAATCGGAACTACCGAAATTACCTACCAAAAATGGCTATTACAGAATCTTGATCCCCGAAGAATGTCGCTGCGTGATACAAGGATGTCAACTATTTGATGTGGGAATTGATGGCCAGTGCGGAAATAGGTTGCTGCTGGTGGTTGGTGTGACGATCAAGCGAATTCGCGATTTGAGATGAAATCCGCATTTGTCTAAAATATTTCAATGAGAACACAGTCGCTATTATTAAATCCATTGCTAGCGTGTGCATATCTTAGGGTTGAGGATTACAGGTTTTCTCCCAATTTTACGTAGGCTCCAATTCTTCAATTATCTAAAGATTTGTTTTCCTGTCAATGTGTTACAATCTGAAGTGAGATTTGTCCGAAAGGATCGTTCAGGGTTGATCGCAGGTAGTGTCGCAGCGGAAGTAGTGAACTCAGGTCAGAGTGAATGTAAATGACTGAGATTGATAATAGCATGCATACATTGGGTTTATATAGAAATACAAAGGAATGCGAAACGACCTAGACTAGCCATGTACTCTAAGGGGTACATTCCCTTATTGCAGCGAAATTTAAACCGTGCGGCGCGGGAATCAGTTTCAAACCTGTTCCCGCTCTTTTCACTTCAAATGCTTCTGCCTGCATCGGTCTTAGTCAGACGGTTGCTGTGTCGCTTCGACTCTTTGTCAGAAATAACTGAGCAGGAATGAATAAACTAGAACAGAGTTTGGTACAAGTAGTAAACCCTAACTTTGTGTACCCCCTAAGGTGTAACCCACTACAGCCTAGACAATATAAACATGCAATGTTTGACACACCCCCATAGGCGCAGTGGGAGACAACCACAGGGTCACAAGACCAGTCAAAGCAAAGTAAAGCAAGCTCAGGGTGGATCTCAAGGATTCCACACAAATTCCGAGCACAAGCAAGTGGTCTCAAGACCAGTTCACATGCAGGTTTATAACAAAGCAAGAGATACAGTGATCACAACCTAGCAAAAGTAAACAAGTAGGCATATATATATAGTGATCACAGTACAAGCAAGGTCAAGAGGTAAGCAAGTGAGGCCCAGTAGGTACAAGGCCTAGCAGAGTGCAAAAGCGCTGATGGTCACAAGGCTGAAGCGCCTTGGTGAACACATCAGCAGTGTTGGCCTCCGTGGCCACGTAACGCAGACAAAGCTGACCACGCTGCTGCAGCTCTCGAGCAAGGAAGTACCGCAGAGCGATGTGCTTCGTTCTGTGCTCCAGTCTGTGCTCCTCACACAAGGCAATGGCAGCCTTGTTGTCGACGTACAGCACTGGAGGAGAACGAGGCCGCTCTCCGAGGTCGGTCAGCAGGTAGGTCAGCCAGCGTAGCTCCTGAGCAGCCATGGCTGTGGCGTAGATCTCAGCCTCACAACTGGAGCTGAGAACAGAAGAAGAGCGAGTAGAACGCCAAGAAACTGAGCCAGAGCCAAGGCTGAAGGTGTAACCCTGGGACGACCGCTGAGTAGCCTGGTCGTCTGCCCAAGAAGCGTCTGAGTGCCCTGTGAGAACAACCCGGTCTCGCCCTCCAAGCACAAGCCCCATGCCCGACGTACTGCACAAGTAGCGCAACACCCTCTTAGCAGCATCCATGTGCTCCTTCCGGTGACGGCCAGGAGCGACATAGCGTGCTAGGATGCTAAGAGGGTATGCAAGGTCAGGTCGAGTGCAGGTCATCAGGTACATGAGGCAGCCCACAAGCTCTGGATACGGGCCACTCGGCTCTACGGATTCATCCGAAGGCAGAGCTGAGAGCGAGTGACCGGTAGGCAGAGGAGTGGACTGAGGCGAGGAGTACGTGAAGCGGAAGCGCTGGAGAACCTGCTGCACCATGTGTGACTGAGTCAGGGTGATGGTGCGCCGTGCTCTGTCCCGGGTGATCCGCAAGCCAAGATAGCTCGTCAGCTCACCCAGGTCTGTGCACGTGTGTCTCCTCTGCAGCTCCGACTTCACGTGAGCGAGTGCCGCGGTGTCAGCAGTGGCAAAGACCAAGTCGTCGACGTACACGAGGATGTAGAACGGCGGCAGCGAGGTGTCGGTGCGTAGAAACAGCGACGGGTCAGCAGTAGAGGGAGCGAACCCAAGAGCCGCAAGTGTCGGTGTGTCGTGCCACTCACGTGGCGCCTGGCGGAGACCGTAGACCGGCCGCTGAAGCCTCCACTGGGTGCCAGGAGGAACTGACCCAGTGAAGCCAGGGGGGCGGCGCAGCCAGATCTCCTCGTGCAGGCTGCCCTGCAAGAAAGCAGTGCTGAAGTCAAGAGAGTGAAGCTCGTAGTCGCGGTGAGCGGCTATGTGCAGCAGCACCCGAAGAGTAGTCATCTTCGGGGTGGGGGAGAAGGTCTGAAAGAAGTCTACTCCCTCTCGCTGACTGAAGCCTCGAGCCACGTAGCGCGCCTTGAAGACAGGTGGAGAACCCGGTGGCCGCTTCACCCTGAAAATCCACATGCCACTGACGATGTTCGCCCCAGGTGGGGGAACCTCGTCGACGTAGGTGCGTGTGGACTTCCAGGAAGCCATCTCTGCGTCCATGGCTGTCTGCCACTGAGAGGAGTAGGGACCCGCCATCGCCTCAGCGTAAGTGCGCGGGGTCGGGATGTCTGGTGCATCCGGGTCTCCCTCAGGGGCAACTAGCATGGACACGAGGTGGGGCAAAGCAGCAGCAAAGCACTGGAACTCCTCCTGTCTGTCCTCAAGGACGTCCGTGCCAAGAGCACACTCACCCCCGACGGACGGAGGACAGACAGACTCAGACTCAGACTCAGCAACAAGGCTAGCAGCGTAGTCTAGACGACAGCGGGCAGCAAAGTCTATCAACTCAGCGACTAGAGCAGACGCAGCAGAGGACTCAAAGGTAGGGTCAGTGACAACAGTAGCGAGGAGACGGGTGCCAATGGGACTGGCAGCATGACAGGAGTCAGACTCCGGGTCAGGAAGAGTAGGCAGAGAGGAAGCAGGAGGAGACGGTAGCGGGACACGCTGAGGAGCAGTGGAGGGACGCAGAGTCATGTAGTGAGTGCCAGGGACAGGAGGAGGACGCTCACGTGGGACACGACGACCAGTGCGAGCAGTACGAACAGGCGACGCAGGACGAGACTCAGGCTCACGACGCTCTGTAAGACCTCCTGTGGGACCAGCGTAAGGAGAGGGAGCAGGGAGAGGCGAGGCAGGCGGGAACTGTGACTGCGACTGGACAGGCAGAGGACACTCGACTGACGGAGGAGGACTAGGAGGAGGAGCCTGACCAAGAACCTGCTGAAGGAGCGGTACGAAGTACGGTCGCGGCCGCGCAGCGTCTCCAGAAGCAGGAGGGACACCAGTGGCAGCCCCAACGCCCGAGTCCTCAGCACCAGCAGCAGCTCCAACGCCCGGGTCCTCAGCACCAGTAGGAGCTCCAACGCCCGAGTCCTCAGCACCAGCAGCAGCGCCACCGGTCGGGTCCTCAGCACCAGCAGCAGCTCCAACGCCCGGGTCCTCAGCACCAGCAGCAGGGCCACTGGTCAGGTCCTCAGCACCAGCAGCAGCTCCACCGGTCGGGTCCTCAGCACCAGCAGCAGCTCCAACGCCCGGGTCCTCAGCACTAGCAGCAGCTCCAGCCCCCGGGTCCTCAGCACCAGCAGCAGCTCCAGCGTCCGGGTCCTCAGCACCAGCAACAGCACCACCGCTCAGGTCCGCAGCACCAGGAGCACCACTACGAAGACTGCAGCGCCGCGTGTACCACTCGCGGATCACCTGAATGGGGGGGAGCTCCTGGGTAGGAGGGGAAGTACCGGGACGAGCTCCAGAAGCACCTCTCCGGAGGCGGCAGTACTCGAGGTACCTCTCCTGCAGCTGCTGGGAGGAGAGGGCTCCTCCAGGTGGAGCACGCTCAGGCTCAGCACCCCCAGACTCAGCACCCCCAGTCTCAGCACGTCCAGGCTCAGCACCCCCAGGCTCAGTACCTCCAGGCTCCGCACCTCCAGGCTCCGCACCTCCAGGCTCCGCACCTCCAGGCTCAGCACCCCCAGGCTCCGCACCTCCAGGCTCAGCACCCCCAGGCTCCGCACCCTCAGACGCAGCACTCCCAGGCTCAGCACCCCCAGACGCAGGACGCGAGTCAACAGCTACCTCGACAGGCTCACCCGGGTCTACCTGGGACACACCTGAGGGAGCGGCACCCTGAGGGGGGAGGGGGTCTGGTACCTCAGCACCTGGAGCGAGGAAGAGAGGCGGGGGGGGGAGCGGGGCAGTGCGGTAGGGGAAGAGGCGGTAGAAGGGGACGGACTCGTCAAAAGTGACGTCCTGAGAGGCCAGAACCCGGCGCGAGGTGACGTGGTAAAACTGCCATCCAGGCGCGTCGGGAACAAAGCCAAGAAAGACACAGGGAACAGCGCGACGCGAGAGCTTGTCCGCGGACGTATCGCGGACAAAAGCTCGAGATCCCCAGACCCGGAAACGCGACGCATCGCCAACCTCTCCCGTCCACCGTAGAGTCGGGGAAGTCTCCGGCAAGGAGACACGGGGCCAGAGGTTGAGCTGATGCGCTGCGTACCGGACCGCAAACGGCCACAGAAAGTGGGGAGCAGCCGCATGGGTCAGGGAGGTACGAGCGACCTCCATGACCAAGCCAATGCGGCGCTCAGCGACCCCATTCTGCTGTGGAGAGGCCGGAAGCGTGTACGACTGCTCAATGCCGTGCTCAGCACAGTAGGCTGCCAAGAGGTCGGAGGCAAACTCACCACCTCTGTCAGAGTGCAAGCGCAGGACAGGAAAGTCCGAGTGAAAGCGCTCGCCTAGCTGGAGACGGGCTCGGCTGATCCAGGGGATCAAAACACCAGGGACGTCACCCTTGGCGCGCAAGGGGAAGACCGTGGTGTAGCGCGAGTAGTCGTCAACAACTATCAGGAAGTATCTCTCCTGACCCTGACCACGGACGCGGGCTGGGCCCCACACGTCCATGTGGAGCGTC